GGGTGGGCTTGCTCCCTGCTGCTGGAGACAATGGATTGCTTCTCCCTAAGGCATGCGACCATTAGCTTGGTTGCTGTAGGTGGAGTTCACACCCTACGGATAATGGTCTCCAACAGTTGAGCCAGGGAACAAGTCAAACAGGCTCTGTGACATCCAAAGTTAGGCTGCCATCCTATATCTAGGATCCATCCATCTTGCCACATGTATACACCCAATCCCTCCTCTTCCTATTGCGTGGATACCCCTACATCGTCCCCTCCCATTACTGTATTACCTATAGCACAACCCCTTCCTGTGACGTATGTCTTCACCTGTAATTAGGGGGCTTGCATGTCCCCAGAGAATATAAAAGCTTTGGTTAGCATTAAAGATTCCCCCTCTCTCTCTCCACGTGGACCACCAAGCGGGGCTGATGTGAGCATGCTACCTTGAAATGTGTCTGACTCCATTTATTTCTATATTTCTCTTCTATCTCTCATGCTCTCTATAATTTTACTATAATCGTTATTATCGCTGTACAATTGCACCTACCGGACAGGCTTCTCCTGGCAATTATACCATTAAAAATATCTCATTAGTTCAAAGCCTCATATTTCGTAATCTAAATCAGGCATTGATGAGGCTCTGGTTAAAATTGATTAAGTAAAATTCCTGGGGGCAAAGTGCCCAAGAATGCTATGTTCCCCAATTATAATGGCAGGGCCTAGGATAAATAAGAAACCCCAGTTTAAACCGGGGTATAATGTTAAAACAAATGGCACGCTCCAGTCCAAAGCTGTTTTGAAATCCAGCGAGGCAACCACTCAGTCGTGTCAGTCTGTAAGCGGACTCTGGCTTGGCTCCACCCTCTGGGATGCCAGCCCCATCCTTCCCAAGTGAAAAGGTAGCCTGCAGTTTCCAGAGCTCACTTGTCAGTTGAATGTGCGTGATATAACAGTCTTCGTTAATTTCTTACTCTCCCTGTCCCTTTCAACCAAGTTAGAATAAATTTCTCAAGAACTTTGTGAGCTTTCTGTGAAGTTCACTCCATTGGGCAGCCCTGGTGGTGGAGTAACTGTGTGCTGGGTTGCTAACCACAAGGGCATGCAGTTTGAAACTACCAGCTGTTCCGAGGGAGACTTTTACTCCCATAAAGAGTTATAGGCTCCATAAAATCATAAGTGAATTATATACGAATGAAACAATAAATTAAAAAGCCAGTCTTGGAAATCCACCAGGCCAGTTCTACTCTGTCCTGTAGATTTGCTAAGAGTTGGAATAGACTTGACGGTGGTGAGTTTGAGAGGCCAAGGAGCCCTGGTGGTGTAGTGGTTGCTCATTGGGTTGCTAACCACAAGGTCAGCAGTTCAAAACTACCAGAGAAACATGAAGCTTTCTGCTCCTGTAAAGAGTTACAGCCTCAGAACCTCACTGGGGCAGTTCTACCCAGTCCCACAGGGTCACTATGAGTTGGCAGTGAGTGAGATAGAGGGCCCCCCCATCTACAATTTTTAAAAAAAAATAATACCTTCTCTAACCATTGGCTTTGGTTGAGATAGTTGAGGACAAACACCCTTAAGTTTCCTTACACTAGAGGCCCCTAGTTTGATTCTAGAATCTTTGAGTCACACCCTTAATCTCTTCAAAGAGATTTTAATGTGACTGAATACTCTGATCTTTTGATCTCTGAAGTTTTAGTAAAATGTTATAGAGGCATACACTGCCCCCTTGACTTTGTCATTTTTGGAGGTAATCTCTTAATTTCAGTGTCTTTTATCATCCAGATGGGCTGAATATTTCCCAAGTCTTGGTCCTTTTGATTTACGTTTTTTCTCTCAATTTATCTCTTTCCTCTCACATTTAAAAATAAGCAGCAAGAAACCAGGCTTCACTTTTAACACTTTAAGCCTGGAAATCTCCATAACTAAATATCCAAGCTCATCATTTACAAGGTGTTTTCCACATAACTGTAAGACACAGTCCTGTTAAGCTTTTCTGCTACTATGTAACAAGGATCCCCCTCTTCCACTTTCCCAAATATATACTCCATTGCCTTTGAGGCTCTCAGGGACAGTAGTTTTAGCATCCAAATTCTAACATGATGGTGCACAGGTTTGTGATAGGGCAATTGGGGATTCTTATGTTACTCAATTCCCTCTGAGCTCACTAGCGGGGAACCACTGGCCTCCATGTTTCTACTAACATTATGTTCAGAGCTGTCCGATCTTTTTCTTTCATGTTCCTCAAACTGCCCAATCCAAAACACTATCCCCAATTTTTTAGCCAACAGCACCCCACTTCTGCCACCATTTTTAAAAAATACACTAGTGTTCTGCTACCACAACAAATTAACACAAATGCATGGGGCTTCATAACACAACACAAATGTATCATCTCAATTTCTGTAAGTCAGAAGTCAAGTGGACTTGGCTAGGTCCTCTGCTTAGGATCTCAAAAGGCCAAAATCAAGATGACCAGAGGACTATCTTCCTTGCTGAGACTTCTGAAGAATAAGTTTGCACACATTCAGGTCACTGTTTGAATTAAATTGGAAGTTGTGAGACTAAGGTTCTCATTTCCTTGCTGGCAGACTCTCACGTTTAGAATCTCAGACTCCAGTTAGAGAAAGTTCCTAACCTTAAGAACTCACAGGGTTAGACTAAGGAGCAGTGGTGACATGGCAGTTAAATGCTTAGCTGCCAACCAAAAGATGGGTAGGTTTGAACCCAGCCTGCTTCTGTCAACATGACAGTCTTGGAGAAACCCAACAGGGCAGTTCAACCCTGTCCTAGAGTCACTTTGAGTGGGCACTGATGTGACAGCAACAGGTTTATAATTAGACTGAATGCATCTTAAGGTCCTCAATTGTAACGATTAGCCATGCAATGTAACACCCAGATTCCAGAGGACTAGGGAATGGACATATTTGGGGTCATTCTGTGTACTATCAGGTGCATGGTAGATTCTGACTCACAGTTACCCAATAGGATAGTCAAACTGCCTACAGTTTAACCTTTAAGGGATCAGATCACCAAGTCTTTTCTCCCGTGGGACAGGGCTTGAATCGCACACAGACTTTCACAGCTGAGCATGTACCCAATGCTGCCATCAGCCCTCCTCAGTCTGTCTCCTACAAGCCCCCAAACCCTAACAAAGGCTTTAAAGTTCTGTTAGGACAAAAGTGCCCCTTTTCTTCGTGTATGTGAGGTATAGGTGTATGACTGGAGGCAACAGTAAAAACACAAACTCATTCCGGAAGAGTTGGTAGGCAACTGGAGAACTAAAAATACATCGTGGAAAAGAAGCTGCCAACAGTTTCACCCCCAAACGGCAAGGCAATTCACTCATTAGTCAGAAACTACCCTATGCTCCCGCCCCACCCCACCCCACCTTCTCTTCACCCCTGTATTCTGTGTGAGAGAACATAAGCAGGCACACTTTTTTTAAAGAAAAAGTTGCCCCAGGGCAATGTAATTTTGTAATCAGTTAATAAATCAATCTGAGCATTCTCCAATTGTTTCGTTCTTCTCCAAGTCATACCTCTTCCCCCAACAGCAGATGAAAGCCAAGTATTTCAAAGTCAGAGAAGGACGAACCTGCCAGGTAAGACAGACTGCAAGTAAATGTCCCCAAGTGAGTGGAGGGAGCAGGAGCACTTGGTCCTGGGCCTTCAGCCCCAGGTACAGCAAGCCAATTGACTTGGAACAAAACACTCGCTGCAGCAGCTCTCAGGAGACTGTACTGACTATTCTTGGCGACCAGTTTTACTCAGAACTGCATGTATACCAGCAAGTCCCTTTCACATGGGGCCATGTCAGATCTCTTGAGCGCTTACTACTGGCCAGGCACAGTCAATCTACTTCTCACCACCAGTGTCTGAGCGATATAAAATGTGACCATCCCATTTTACAGATAGGAAAACCGAGGCGTACGGAGAGTAGGTCACGCAGCTATGCAATAGTGGCATGGCTATTATTCAAGTGGTGTAGTTCAAACCACTGGCCTCCACGGCCACCCCTTGGGTGGAATGAGCTGTCCAACTCACCGTCTCCCCCTTCTTGGCTCTCTCCGCCTTCCCCAGCCCCCCATTTCCTCTACCCAGACTCACATCTTTACACAACTGAACAGTGGCAAGGTGATCCGAGTCTTCCCAAATAACTTGGTGCTTGCCTCCTTGCCCAAACTCTTTCCCTCCCCATCGAAGCATGAACCAAGAAGCCAACTTCTGACCCCAACTTCACTTCCCCCCAACTACAAAGCCCCACCCATCACCTGCCTCACCTCGAAAATGTTCCAACACGGCGCAACAGTCACACACAACTCAGAAGTCCTACTGGTGCAAAAGGTTATCAACTTATACCTGTAGGTGTATATGCACGCTCAGCCAACCCTTCCGTCCACAGACGTCTCTCCCCTGCCACCCAGGCTCCCAACCAACCTGTAACTCCCAACTCCACCCGGCCGATCCTCTTCGGGGCCACCTCCTCCTGCCTCCCCAGCGACCACCCCCGGAGTTCCCTTCACCTTGCACCCCAGTCTCCAGGTGCTTAGTCCAACCCTTCCTCGAAGGACCCTTGAGGGGCCCTGAGCTAGCGGCCCTCCCCCGCCTAAGGGCTCACCCCACCGTACCCAGCAGGCATCACTCCCTTCTGCACCCTCCCCAGCCCCACCCCACATGCTCCCACTCCCCCGAAGGCGACCCCCTCCACCCCAAGTTGTCTCCTAGTCCCCGCCCCAGTCCAGCCGTCTTCCCGACAAGAAGCGGGGCTCCAAGAGCTGGCTCCCGCCCTCGACTTGGCCCCTGTCCCCCAGCCGCGCTCCCTGCCCTCGGTGCGGGTGGCCCCTGGCCTCCCGATGGGCTGCAGGGACCTCGGCTGGTGAGTATGTGGGGAGGGGGGGGGCAGGGAAAGCGAAGGGCCGCTCGGAGTCTGCTGGAAGCTTGAGGAGCGGCCGATCCCCGCTGTCCCACTCGGGGGCCACCCTCGGCTTTCAACGACCCGCCTTGGTGGCTCCCAACGTACCGGTGGTGGAAGCGGCAGCGGCGGCGGCCGCTCTCCCGTCTCTTCACACAGACAATATGGCGGCGGCGGAGGAGGAGACACACGGCTCGGCCGCCAGCCGCAGGGACCAGAGCGAGGCTGCGGCCGCCGCTGCCGGAAGCGGAACCCCCCCCTACCGGGAGGTGGGCGGGGCCACTTCCGACTCCTCCCTCAGCGGACGCTCGTTGACTGCGGCCATGCTGGGCTGTGCTATTTTCTCTCTGGGGGTGCAGTTCCCGACTGAGCTGCAAAACGTAAGGGGTTGCCGGCGTAAAACAGGACGAAGAGGCTTGGAATGGTGGCTCACATGTTATTTCAGTACTCCTCTGAACAGACCAGAAAGTGAACCGGAACCCCCCGCGCTTAGTGGATACTTGGTTTGACCCAAGCGAAGATGGCGGTCCCTAAGTTTCCCGCACTTGACCGAGCTGTGGCTCCCACCAGCCTGTACGTCGGCCCCGCCTTTCTTGAAAAGAAGCATGCGCCAGCTGCAGGGCTGGAGAGCTAAGTCTTCTGGGAATTGAAGTCTCTCCTGCTCGGACTCCTCGTCTCCTGACGGGCTCCAGCGGCACTTTTTTTCCTGTCCAAACTTTGAATTTCAGAAGCGGAGGAGGAAAGTTGGATCCTGGGACAGGCTCGGCCCTGGAGTCCGGGAAGTGATGATACGCACTCTCTAGTATCTACGGGAGGTCTGCAGCCAGGATCAAGAGCCCTGCCATCTACCCATTTTTTCTCTTCCTCCTCCCCCTCGCCCCTCCAGAATCAACGCCCCAAAGCCGCGTAGAGGCTGCATATCTGATCGTAGCGTGTTGTCCTGTGCTTTCAAGTGGATTCTTCATGCATGGCAGCCCCATGTAACGCAGTAAAACGGACCCATTGGGCTTTCCTAGCCTGCAGTATCTACAGGAGCAGGTGATTAGGTCTTTCCCTCAGACCCATGCGTGAGTTTGAACCTCCTACTTTGTGATTTGTGACTGTTTAACAATGAAGCCACTTTCATCACGCCATGTTCCTGCTCAGGTATCTCCCAAGACTCATTTTGCCCAAGCTCTCCAGCTTTGGTATTCAAGACCTTGCATCACTTGTTCAACCCAACACTCCACCCCAACCCACCCCACCTCTGATTTCAGAGCACCTGTTCTGCCACTTCCCTTCAATTCCTGGTGCTCCTACCGACTACAAACTCTTCCTGGAACTTGGCTGTATGGCCTCCCTCCATTTGTACTGGCCCTTTCCCACTGCATCTCAGAATGTTCTCCTCATCCTCACAGACTGCCTCGAGTCTGTGTACTTAGTGAATTCATTCAAGGGCCCTTTCTTTGGAGACTCATCTCTTCTTCAGAGGTGCCCACACCATCACTCAGCAACCTGATTGGTCCCTAGTGGGGCTCTCTCACCAGACTCTGAGCCCCCAGTGGGTAGGGCTGAGCCTGATGATCAGCCTGCCTGCTTCAGGCTTTGCTAAAAGCTAAAGCGCCTAGGTGTTCAGAAGAGACATTCAAGTGTTAGTTTCCCCTCCGGTGGGGCAGAGGTGTGAGGCTTGGAACAAAGGTGGAGAGGCTGTCTCAGAATAGCTTCTTTGGCCCAGGGATGGGCCTTTACACTCTCCTCCCTGGCCCTCTTCACACTTGGTCAGCTGACTGGTGCTCCTGGTCCCCAAAAGACAATGTCTTCCTCTGTATCGTGGGGGAAGAGTGGAGACACACAGTAAGGATCCCAAGGAGGTGGCAGTATCCTTTTCTGGGCCTCATCCTGTCAGACAAGTCTGTTCCATTTGAACACAGTGGGTTTGGAATCTATACCCGTGGCTCCCTAGGTGCGCTGAGGCTCTTTTCTAGGCCTCAGTTTCCCTCCCTGTGGATTGAGGGAGCTGATCCCAAGGCTTCCGTGAAAATCTCTTCTGGGAAATGACTGTCCTCCCACTTACCACTTATCTGGGCTTTTGTCCTTTCTGCTCTCATGACTCCTTCTCCCCCATCCTGCTCACTCACTGATGGACATCAAATCGGTGCCAGCGACCCTGACCCCATTAAGCCAGGGTAGAACCGGCCCTGTGAGTTGCTGAAACTGTAACTCTTGACGGGAGTAGAAAGCCCCAGTCTCCCCCACCTTGATGCAGGCCCAATCAGCTAACAGCTACTGATCACTCGGAATGTGCAGGACGTGCTGAGAATGGTGTGAGCCAGACAGACACCATTTCTTCTTCGCAGAGCTTCTACGGTGAGAACGAAATGATGCCCCCGGCAGACGAGTGAATAAGCAAGGGAATCTCACCTGTGGTGAGTGCTGTGAAGGAGAAAAGATGAGTCGCTGCGGCATGGAGCAAAGTGGGGAGGAATTTTAGCCTGAGTGATTCAGGAGGTCCCTCTAAGAAAGGACCAGCAAGCGCAAAGACTTGAAAGGGGAAAGAACCCAGTAAGGGTGAGGAAGGAGACCAGGGTGACTGACACACTGTAAATGAAGTGGAGAGAGAAGATATGATGGGAGGGGTGAGCAGGGCACGCGGCCATGGTAAGGAGTCCGAGTCTTCATCTGTATGTAGTGGGGTGTTTCCTAATGTTTAATCCTTATGACTTCCCAATGGTCTCAGCCTCTGCTAGAGCATGTGTTCTTCATTCTTCCACCCAGTTCCAACCTCCACCCATGACCTCATTCCCAGGGCTCACCCAGGTGCAAACGTGCAGTGCTTCACACTCCTGCAGGGCACAGTGTGATCCAACCCCTGCCCACCTCCCAGGCCAGCGTGGCCTGGGCCTCTGATCTCAAGAAGCTCCCAGTCCTTGATGTTCATCCAGTTACGGAGACTCCAAAGACTGGCTGAATTGTCCTTAACTCTAACTCTCCATGGCAGCCCCTCGTCTTACACACACACACACACACACACACACACACACACACACACACACACCAGGCTATTCTTCCTAGAGACATCATGCGCAACAACTAAGATGAGGACACTCTTGCTTGTGCCACACAACGAATGTGCATCATCTCATTTACATGGACCTGAGGAGGCAGGAGCCACAAGAATCCAATTAAACAAATGGAGAAATTGAGTTTCAGAGAAATTAGCAGCCAGGCCCAAGTGATGGAGTTGGCCTTCCAAAGACCCTAAGTGTGCTAACTATCTGGTGCTGCATAACAAATAGCCCAACATGCAACGTCTGAAAGACCGCCAGTGTGGATTTCAGATGTTTCATAACTCCGCACTTTGGACCTGCCTGGGCTGAAACAATCCTTTCCTTACTCAACACGATTTGCCTGAGAGCAGTCCCGTGATGGCAGTTCGTTAACAAATCCCTTGTAATGGGCAGTCTTAGACGGCTCTCTTCCTGTGCCTGGCAGTTTTGTGGGGTTACCAACTTGAGTGCCTCCAGTCTCCCCATGTGGTTTCTTCAGCACACTCGCTCTTCACAGGATGGCCCCCAAAAGGAAGAGAATGGAAGCAGTAAGACCTCTGGAAGGCCTAACACAGTGCAAGGGATCCCTTCTGTAAGACCTCTCTAACCTGGTCCTGAACTCTCACCCAATGATGGACCGGAACTGTGCACCACCATGTTCGTGGCCCACCACAGGGATCAGGCGGTTATTAATAATACAGATAAGATACATGGCATCCACGTGGGGAGTGTGTGTGTGTGGAGGGCATGCGGATAAGGCATATGGGACCCTGACAAGGGAATTGGTGAGTGTTGTCATTTCACTAGGCTTAAAATGAGCCATCCCAAAGGTGGAAAGGGAATACCTTACGATCACCAAGAAGAACCCAGAATGGAGCTCATCCTTTGGCTCTGAGGTTCTGCAACTGAGGACCTTCTTCGATCCAGGGAACAGAAAGAAAGAGAGTGTCGTACTGTAGATGGAAAGAAGCAGCCGCATAGAAACAGTGGCAGCAGAACCCAGAGACCAGACCACAGAACAAGGTGATGACAGTAGGCTTGTCCACCCACATGGCCCAATGATTTGCCCCAGTCTTGTGTCGACGCTGTATAGTCTCAAGTGGATGATCATCTCCCAATTCCCACTTCTTGAAGAAGTGACCCCAGACAATGTGGGGTCTCCTCCTTCACATCAGCTCTTGTGTGTTTGTCTGGGTAGACTAGAGAAGCAAATTCATAAACACACATGTGTATAAGGAAGTGGTTTATATACAAGAGGAATTGAGCATTGAGAACACATCCCAGCCCAGTCCAGATCAAGTCCATAAGTCCGATATGGGCTTCCCCATAGGAATGGAAGGAGAAATGTTCCTGAAATTCAAGCCAAGATCACGAGAGGAGACATTGTGGAGGAGATGCTGGGAGTTCTGTTGGTGAGGATGGTGGGTGATTGGGGAGAGCTAACCACATAGTGGGAAGGGATGCTAAACAAGGAGTGTAGGGAGAGATGAGCCAGTCAGGGTGCGATGTAACAACGATGAGAAATACAACTTTCCTCTAGTTCCTAAATGTTTCCTCCCCGCTCCCACTACCATGACTTGAATTCGACCTTGCAAGTCTGGCTAGACCAGAGGATGTACACTGGTAAAGATAGGAACTGAAAATACAGGGAATCCAGGGCAGATGAGCCCTACAGGACCAGTGGTGTGAGTGGTGAAACAGGGAGGGTAAAGGGAGAATGGGTAGGAAAGAGGGAACTGATTACAAGGAACTATATGTGACCTCCTCCCTGGGGGCCGGACAACCGAAAAGTGGGTGAAGGGAGATGTCTGACAGAGCAAGATATGACAAAATACCAATTTATAAACTATCAAGGGCTCATGAGGGAGGGGGGAGCGGGGAGGGAGGGGAAAAATGAGGACCTAATGTCGGGGGTTTAAGTGGAGAGAAAATGTTTTGAGAATGATGTACAAATGCGCTTTACACAATTGATGTGTGTATGGATTGTGATAACAGTTGTATGAGCCCCTAATAAAAGGTTTTTTTAAAAAGTGTAGGGAATCTAGGGGGACAATTTTAGGTACCTGGGTAGATACTATGAATTTGTTTCTACTCAACCTTCAGTGAACTACACCACGGACTTAGCACCAGCAAGAGAGCTGGCTGTCTTTGCCCGGGAGACTTCCTGGCAGAATAGATT